GGCTCGTCCCAAGGCGACGCAGAAGCAGAGAGCGACGCCGACCTCTGAGCAGGGCGCGCGGTTTGGGCCGACCCGGCGCGGCAGACCTTCGGTCCTGCCGCCCCAGCGGCGCGCCAGCACCCCGAGCCCTGAGCTCGCGGGGAGTTCAGCCGGGGACTGCAAGCGCGCAGAGCAGGTCCAGGGCTAGTTCTGTGCCAGAAGTGTCTGAACAACATACCAGAACCTGTTCTTGGCGAACCGGAGTCACGTCCCGGCCGTGCAGGGTGCCGTTCCAGCACCACCTTCCAGACAAAATTAGCCCTTTTGTGGCCCAGCCCGCGCACCGATCCAGCTGACGGGATGGCTGTGCAATACCGGCCCCGGGAGGAACGCTTGCTGATTCCCACCTGATCCAGGCTGCAGGAGGAGGCTGCAGTTGGGGGAAAGGCAGGAGCTGGGTCGGGATGCTGTTAGCCCAGCACCCCCCCGCCGGGAGCAGCTTCGCGTTCACTTGGGGACAAGACAACTAACAAATTTCCCTCTTTTTTAAGACCGTCTAACGTAAGCGAGTGGCGTGTTCAACGACTCGGCACAGCTACGTGCAGTATTGACAGGAGAGCTGGTGGCTACCTGGGCAGATTTAAGCCTGCCACGGAGCAGCCTGAATTCCCCGCATAGCCAGAACATTGCTGGTGGGATGAAAAAGTGAGGAAACCCCCCAAAAAGGCTCTGGCAGCTGGCCCTACCTTCTTCCCAAGAGCTGCGGCTGTGTCCTACCGCTCTGAAACTGGAACAGCACCGGGACACCAAGGAAGCGTCCCTTCGAGGCGCTCCCAGCCCCTTGCAGAGCGACCTAGGGCACAGTGTTAGGCAAGGCGCTTCATCTCTGCGTGCTGCCGTGAAATGTGGATGATGGTGATTTATATCATGCTAGTGTGCGGATTTCATCCGTGAATATTTGCAGTATTTTTGAGTCAAACTGAACAAGCCAAAGCCACCAAGCTGCTCTCGCAATCGGATCCCTATTAAAAACATCTCTGGGCAGTTTGGAAGCTGCAAGCGACCACAGTGACCCCAGGTACAGTCCCGGCCACAGAGTTGCAATGACTTTAAAAGCCATTTTTTTCTCTGCAGATTTTTTTTTCATTTTAACATTACCTGTCTCAAACAACACCTTTTCCTGCAAGAACCTGGAGGAGCCTCCAAACTTGGTTTGAAATTTTAGCTATGCAAAGATTTAAGGAAGAAAAAAAAAAAGTACAAAGCCTTTTCTTTCAATGAAATGAGTTTTGCCTGGCAGTTGGGTATTGTTGTGTTGAGGGACATAAGCTATGCAGTATTGCCAACCACAGGCATTCAAAAATCATGAGTCAGACGCCCCAAAATCATAAGATCGGTTTCTTTCCCTTCTGGATTTTGAGCCTTTAAGCATCACAGCTTCAAGCTTTTCTCTTCGGGGAAGTGGGCTAGAAAATGAGGTTTGGGAACAAAGGCGCGAGAGCTGAGATGCTCACGTAGTCACCGGACTCCGGGAGCTGTGACCGTAAAAAAAGCTCGTGCCAGGAGCCCCCATTGCAAGAGCCTCACTTATTTTGGCCTTTGGCATCAAAGCAACGGATTTCGAAAAGCCCAGGTCAACGAGGCTCGCAGCGTCCTGGGTCGGGGACCGGCTCACGCCCGGGGCCAGCAGACAGGCAGAGAGAGCAGAGGATGTCTGCTGGGCCGGGGAGAGGCGACTCTCGCCCTCGCTTCTTCCCGGCGCAGCTTTTGCTGGCTTTATCTCCCTCTCTCCCGTGCTATTTCCAGCCTCCCTCTTTTTATAGCTTTTCCGTTTGTGCGACGAGCCGCGCGGGACCGCAGCTCCGGCTGGACGGCAGGAAGCGGAGCTGGGAG